GGTGAGCCCCGCCCCCTATAATTGGCAATGACTAGTGGAGTAAAATCTGCAGGGACTCCTTTACCTTTTATCATTTGTTTGTGGAGTTTGTGAATCCTCTTTAAAAAAAACACCACCCTCCACAAATAAATAGAGCCTGCTTTTAAAAACGGATAATGTATCTATTTTAACAATTGTGGATGGAGTTATGTATCCTCTGTAAGATATTTTCTACCAACTTTCACTTAAATTATAGTTTGGGGTAAATTTTATTAAAAGTTGCCGTAAGTGCCGTTGTTGTAATGTAATTGCTTCTTTTGCATGCATTTATCATACAGCCTTTTACTTGTTTTGTCCCTATGCCATAGTAATTTGTACTTATATCTTAATAGATGGCCTTGATTCTGCATAAGTGTTTCAAATCCAGTCATTTGTCTTAAAAACCCTCCTTTTTTCCTGAGGTAACTTTCTATTCATCCATCAATAAATACATCAGGCAAAGGAAATATTTGGCTTTTGCCAAATAATTTTTGCTGTGCCCTTAGTTTGTTTTTACAGTCTGGATGTATCATATGTAATTATATTTTCTTAAAATAATTGACTCAAGAATAAAAGATACTTGAGAGTGAAACTAAAGGCAAGGTTTCTGGATATATTATTGCTTTTGTGGATTTCCTTATTTTTATCATGCTTTATCTTATATGTCTTATATGTCAACTTATTTGAAGTTTTCTAATCTTCTTTTGTGCCCTGATACCAGATAAAAACTATAAAATCTATTGACTAAACCGGGACCTTCTAATATTGACATTCTATTATTCAGGGATTTTATCCATTCGACTATCCATGTCAAACAGCTTACATGGTAATATAGTTTAAATTTTGTGAGTGTGCCTCTTTCTTTTGAATCAAGATATCTTTCTATATTTTACTCTGGGTTTTTTACCTTTCCAAATGCATTTGTTCCTAATTTTGCCAATCTTGCAATTTTTTCCTGGATTAACATCAGTGCTATTTAAAATTGTATTTATATATACTCTCTGTGTGTGTGTGTGTGTGTGTGTGTGTGTGTGCGTGTGTGTGTGTGTGTAAAATTTTATATTTATTTTAATAGTTGCAATTAACTCCAACAGCGAAAGTTTTAATTTTAATAGTTGCAATTAACTCCAACAGCGAAAGTTTTAATTTTTTTCTCCTTTCTAATTTTAAATATGTTTTTATATCCTGAGAATTCATCAACCGTTTGTTTTCATCAGAAGTAAATAGTCTGAAGAGACCAGATCACCAATCACCAATAGACCAATCTCCTTATTACTGTCAATTATAAAATGTTTACTACAATATTAGATGAACACTTAAAGAAGTACCTATGTTCTGGGTATAATACACATGGATCGAACACGTTATATTGCCAAGAGGAACATCAAGACTTATAAATGCAATAGTTTATATCATTAAAAAAAAAGAAAGGGAGCGACAGTAATTTGGTGGGTGTGCGGAGAAAACTCTTTGTCAATTTGTGATGACCATTTCTCCTTGCAGTATTGAATAAAATAAATCCCAGAGAAGAATTTACAGCTTGGGTTAAAAGCATATATCAACAGCAAACAGCAAATGTCATAGCCAGTGGGACATTTTCTTTGAATTTTTCTGTCAGTAAAAGTAACCAGAAAAAAATGTTCTTTCTCCTTTATTATTTGCATTTATTTTCGAAATATGTGCAAATAGGTTTTGAAAAGATAAACAAGTATCAGGCACTAAGAATCAAGGAAAATATAAATTAAAATACTACATGGAAGATGAAGTATTAACCATTGTGCAACCACAAAATACAACAAGATAGCTGGTTACCAGAGTATTGATAGAAACGTGTCATTAAGACAATTGTGCTCTCAACACCAATAGTTGGTTTATTTGTTTCATTGTCCTGCAAGGGAGGAAAATGTATAGGTGTAAGACTTAACCAAAATTTGATTGCTTCACATGTGACACATTTAAACATATTTGTTTCTCCAAGTGTATAAATAAAAATATAAATGCAACTAACCAGGTTTGGAAACATGGCTGTCATGTTTATTAGAGAACTATGTCAAGCCATCCCCTCCTTTGAGGGTGTTGTGGGTGGCCAAACTCTGGTTGCAACAATCAAAAAACAGATGAAGTAATTTAAGTTTGGAGCCCCCCCCCATATTAGTCTTATTTTGAAAGAATCATTTGGTGGAATAAAATGCAGAAAATATAATCTCCACTAAACTGAGGCAGCAAATGAAGACAGCTGAAAATTGTGAAGGCCAAAGTTTTCTCAGGAAATTCAGAACTGAAATATACATTTATGTGAAGTTTGAAGTTTAAAAGCAGAATGTCTGTCTAGGCAATTTCCTAGCTATTTTCCATGGAAGAAAGAAAAACCAAAGGAAATAGGTTGCTGTGCAAATTCAAAAACAAAACTATAAGTAACAAACTGAGATAAGCAATTGTCAGTAGGAAAAATTAACATTTTGACAAGCAGTGAGCAAATGTAATTTAAACAGAAGGATGAAATAGCAACATTTTCTTTCTTTTCTCTAGAAGATCATTATTTGCCAAATGGCATGTGGTTTTTTTCCCTAACATTTGCAAAACAGTCTGCAGGTTTCTTCTAAGATAATTTGTCAAAGAAACACACAGGCCATATGGAGCTGAAGGGATGATTGTGTAGGCCAGTGAACACGAACCAAAATAAGTTGATATTGGAGAAGAGGGATCCTGGCTGATTTCTTTATGGAGCTTCCAACATTTAATCAGCTCAACAATGATATATTTGCACTTTTTCCTTTTCAAAACCATACATCAGATGACAAAACTCAACATAGTTATAATGCAGTATATCAGGGCTTTTCAACCTTTTCACCCATTGTACCACTTTTAAGATATGGCAACATCCGAGTACCACCAGTCGCCTAGCAAGGTGTCAAAAACTTGATGACCCAAAAAAAAAAAAAAAGGAAAAAAGTGATAAAGTACAGGTAGTCCTCGACTTACAACAGTTTGCTTAGTGACTGTTCGAAGTTATAATGGCACTGAAAAAAGTTCCTCCCAAGACAGCTGCCTGCCCACCCAGCAGCACTCTTCCTCCTGTCCGAGGTTTTCATTGTTGTTAGCATTTCTGTTGAGGATTGGCAGCGGGGGTAGGGTGGTGGGGGTGTTTGGTTTTTATTCCCCCCGTCTGCTGGGTGGTTGCAGCAGGTTTGGGTCACTTCACACGACCCTGGGACACTGTGACCATCATAAATATGAATCAGTTGCCAAGCATCTGAATGTAAATCACAAGACCCTGGAGATGCTGCAACATTCCAGCTGATCGGCGCTTCTTCTGGGCTCAGCAGAAGCACCAGGATCAGTGCCGAGCTCCAGCTGGAGCCTGGTGCTGTTCCTGGCGCTTCCGCTGAGCCCTGACAGCCCTGCAGATCCAGCCATCTCTCGCTCAGGCTTGTGCGGTGCTGCCACTGTTTCAGCTCATTCCCCTCCCCCGCTACCACTTTTCTAGGATGGTCGCGTACCACCTGCCAAGTGCCAATGTACCACAGGTGGTACCCATACCACTGGTTGAAAAGCCCTGCAGTATATAACACTAATTCAAAAATGTCAAAGGTGAAGAGGACATTGCACTCTGCGGTCTCCTAAATTAGGGCTACTGGACAGTAGGATATCTTCCACTTTTCAAACAAAATTGACTGCATTTCTGAAACATTCATGTATCGGGATGGAGTGAGGGCAATCATGATTTATTGACAATCTACCAACTGCATAGCAAACAGAAATACAAGCTACACAGTTGTTTCTGCCCACACGGTTGAATATTGCATAATTTAATATGGCAGAAAAAATGTATGGACAGAGAATCAGTAGAGTTAGGAGGTTAACCTTTATAAGCAAGTTTTCTCAAGGCTGGTGCTTGTGTGAAAAGAAAGTGAAGATAAACTTTATTTAGGGAATAACCTGTTGATGGGAAAGGCTAAGTCGCTTAGTTAGGTCTATTGTATCGACAGCTAAGAGCCTGTGGTGTGCTCTCCTCCTTAAGGAGAGAGAGAGAATGAATCAGATAAGTATCTGAACTGCTGGTGTTAGGGATAGAGGTGAAAAGAAGATTGAACTGAGAATGTAAGGAAGAGATGAAGGGCCTGAGAATGTCAGTGAGACTATAGGACACATGTAATGTACAAGCAAACAAAGTAAGTCTATTTGACAAAGAAAGAAGATAACTAACCATCTTTCTGCTAACCATCTCTACATCTGTTGCTTCTCGGTGCAGAAAGCTGGTGCATGCCAAGTTGAATTCCACCACTGATGGACAAAAAATCTAATAATAACAACAACAAAAGTGCACAGTATTTTTTGACTCCTGATACCAAACTTTAAATATCATAGATACCATGTGTGTGGGAAGGGAGGTCAGTGCTATTTTAGCTGATGGTCGGAAAATATTGGTGTCACAAGAAAATAGTATTAAAGATTAAGGTTTTTGCCATGACGAACCAGTTGTGGTAATACAGTTAATCCTCAACTTACAACATTTCATTTAGTGACCGTTCAAAATTACAATGACACTGAAAAGAAGTGACTTATGACCATTTTTCACACTTATGACCATTGCAGCATCCCCATGGTCATCTGATCAAAATTCAGATGCGTGGCAACTGACTTATATTTATGACGGTTGCAGTGTCCCGCGGTCACGTGATTCCCTCTTGCAACCTTCTGAACAAGCAGAGTAGTGGGGAAGCTGGATTCACTTAACAACCGTGTTACTAAGTTAACAATTGCAGTGATTCATTTAACAAATGTGGAACAAAGGGGGCAAAACTCACTTAACCAATTTCTCATTTAGCAACAGAAATTTTGGGCTCAGTCATGCTCATAAATCGAGGACTACCTGTACTAGTGGAGAAATGAAGGTTGTCAGGGTTTGTTTAGTTTATCCAGATAGGGAACAGAGGCTGTTTGTTTTACCTTTCAACTTTTTTCCCCTTTCAACTCTGCAGGTGAGTCCCACCCCAGGATGCATCCGGGCGTTAATGAAGATGCTGTACTGCCCTTATTGCCGTGGTCTGCCCACTGTGAAACCTTGCAATAACTATTGCCTCAACGTAATGAAGGGCTGCCTTGCAAACCAAGCGGATCTGGATACCGAGTGGAATCTCTTCGTAGGTAAGGGATGTGTGTGAACGTGGGGAGGTGAGCAAAGTAATCTGTCAAACTTTCTGATGAATTCAAACAGCATTTGCCAAGTGGAAAAATAGGACATGTTGACAGAATGCCTTCATTCAGTTGTCATTCACCTGCTTTGATCAAAGTTTCTCTGGCTCCACCTGGGAGCTATTTTCATGAAATCTCTCTTTGTGGGATGTTGAAGTCCGTAAGCAAAATTCCACCCCGGTTGGTGTGAAGCAGCTCGAAAGATGAAGGCTGCATTTCTGATTCTATAGAAGACAGAAGGACAAGGTGGAGGGAGGGGAAGAAGAGAACGACAATGACTAAATTCTGTGCATTTCACATTAAAGTTTCATGTTTGTCTGCCAGATGCAAGAATAAAGACTGCATAGTCCTTCTTTGCCTAAATCCAGTGTGATTGCAAATTGGCAAAAATCCATTATTGTGACAGGCAAAAAAAAAGATCTTATAAGGCATATTTTAAAATATTCCAAATTTATTCCTTCTGGGCAAAGAGAAGAATGGATCTCATTTCCATTTTCAGACAGTTGTGTGATCTGCTGTAATTCACAGAAGGGTTTGGAAGGGCGTCCCCCCAAAATATGAAATCTACCAATAGTCCAGGGACCCTGGATGGGAGGGAAATGGCTCCACTGCAAAGCAGCAGAATGTCATCACAATAAGACAAAAGATTAAAAAGGAAGAAAAAGGATTATATGAATGTGCCCTTCATCCAACTACATGCATCTATTCCTGACACATTTTAAAAAAAGACTTGTGACACGGAGTTTTCCATTCTAAAGAAATCTCAAATGGCTGAGCAGTTTTGACTGGTTTCCATTCCCTTTCAGGGACATAAATAAAAATTAATTCTCTTGAAGTGTCTATCTAATCTTTTTTTTTCCTTTTTCTAGTGCTGTGGAATGAAATAAATATACAATAATAAGCAATACGGCAGAAGGATATACATACACACATAGACACACACAAATATGTAGCACAGGATAATTTGTTTAGTCTACAAAAGAAACAACCCAAGAATATGATCTTACATATTTAGGAAACATTGAGGGATGAAAGAAGAAGTAAGAGAAACATAGTGAGGAAACACAAAGAGTACTTAAAATAATTAATATTTACAATACGGATTCTTTTTAAAAAATGCATATAATTACTTGATCTTTAGGCCACCCCCATGGAACTCTGTCAACAGAATACACAACTTGTTTGCTTTCTCATTATTCCCAGATGAACCATTTTGAACTTCCAGTGTCAAGAATTTCCAGAGAAGTTTGTTCTCACTTCTAATCCCAATTACCATAGTTAAGCAAGGACTATATTTACAGGTTGATCACAATTGAGCTCAAAATTTATGTTCCTAAGCAAGACAGTTGTTAAGTGAGTTTTGCCCCATTTTACAACCTTTCTTGCCACAGTTGAGAAGTGAATCACTGCAGTTGCTAAGTTGGTGACATGGTTGTTAACTAAATCTGGCTTTCCCATTGACTTTGCTTGTCAGAAGGTCGCAAAAGGTGATCACATGACCTCAGGACTCCGCAACCATCATAAATACATGCCAGTTGTCTAGCGACCAACTTTTGATCATGTGACCATAGGGATGTTGCAATGGTCATAACTGTAAAAAGTGGTCAAGTCGCTTTTTTCAGTGCCGTTGTAACTCTGAATAATCACTAAATAAACTGTTGTAAGTTGAGGACTATCTGTAAAACACACTCAGGCTTTTAAGATTTTCTTATTATAGTCTATCTCAGTGGTTCTCAACCTTTTTAATGCCGCGACCCCCAACCAGTCGTAAGTCGAGGACTAAACCGGTCGTAAGTTGAGGACTAAACCGGTTATAAGTCGAGGACTAAACCAGTTGTAAGTCGAGGACTACCCAACCGGTCGTAAGTCGAGGACTTTCCCTGCCCGGGAGCACTGCACATGCGTGGTTCCGTCCCCTGCACCGGCCGAGGCATAGCTGGCAAGCGGCAGAGATGGAGCAGGCTGACCACCAGCTGGCCCAGCTCAAGGGAGGTAAGGCACCCGCCGGAAAAGGGGAAAAAATGGCGGACAGCCTTGCTTGGCGACCCCCGTGAAATGGTCGATTGACCCCAAATGGGGTCGCAACCCATAGGTTGAGAACCGCTGGTCTATCTCATAAAACATGGAATGTAGAATAACAGAGTTGGAAGGGATCTTGGAAGCCTTCTAGTCCAACCTCCTGTTCGAGCAAGAAATCCTATACATTTGAGACAAACAGTTGTCCAATCTCTTCTTGAAAAGAGTGATGGAGCACCCACAACTCCTGGAAGCAAACCATTCCACTGATCAATTGTTCTCACTGTCAGGAAATTTATTCAGGATGGGTTTATTGTTGGCCTGATGACACTGCTGACTATGCACTACTCTTGCAGCAGGTGAGATAGGATTGGCTCTGGGAACATCTCCATCAATCTCTTTTCATGCACAGATCTTTTTCTCATGACTGTAGAGTTAATTGGGATAACCATTCTCTGCAGGAAGCAGGAACCAATTAAGAGGACTCAAGCCAGGTTCTTGATGGTTCTAAATCACTGTTGGGAACCACTGGGAAACTTGAGCTGGTCCAGCATGTAGCAATACATGTTCTTTGTAGCCAGGCATACTACTTCCATGTTATACTAACGCTGTGGAAACAGCACTGCTTGCCAGTATGTTTCCAAATGTAACACATGTGGTCTCATCACTTGGGGATCCATGATACCACCTTTTCCATACAAATTCTGCCCGTCCAATCGTTCTTCTCTTCATTAAACTAGACATACCCAATTCCAGCAACCATTCCTTATATGTTTTAGCCTCCAGTCCCCTGATCATCTTTGTTGCCCTTCTCTGTACTCTTTCTAGAGTCTCAACATCTTTTTTATATCGTGGTGACCAAAACTGGATGCAGTATTCCAAGTGTGGCCTTACCAAGACATTATAAAGTGGTATTAACACTTCACATGATCTTGATTCTATTAATGCAGCCTAACACTGAGGTGGCTTTTTTGGCAGCTGCAGCACACTGCTGGCTCATATTTAAGTGATTGTCCACTAGGACTCCGAGGTCCCTCTCACAGTTACTACTATTGAGCAAGGTACCCCCTATAGTATACCTATAAATTTGGTTTTTCTTGCCTAAATGTAGAACCTTGCTTTTTTCACCATTGAATTTCATTTTGTTAGATAGCGCCCAGTGTTCAAGTCTATCCAGATCCTCCTGTATCTTAAGCCTGTCTTCTGGAGTGTTGGTTATTCCTGCCAGCTTGATGTCGTCTGCAAATTATTTTTTTCTATATGTGTCAATCATGTGAAACAGAGTATGGATTTATTATTGACTGGATAAGGACCAATAAACTAATATTGAATGCCACAATATGCAGCATATGTTTCTAGTTCAACACAGATTCTGAGTTTCAGGAAGTAATTGTAGGTTCATTCTACTAACAGGGAATTTAAAATTGATTTTAAACTAGAATATCCCTTGGTCCACTGAACATTACTGTGATCTCAATAGTCCTCTTATATCAGCTATTCATTCTTAAAGATGAAGCCATTTCTACAAACAGATTAGTATACAGAAAAGACCCTGGTGGACTATCTTATGAAATTTCTCCCTTTTATTGCTATAACTGATGCTACTGCAGTATTTTGTTTTCTAATACATTAGGATTTTTTGCATTTTATGTATCTTCTCAGAGTCATAAGATGGAAGACAGCATGAAAATATTGTCAATACAGGTCAATACATTTTCGAATGTTGGAAGGATATAAAATTCTCCAAACCAAACTTGGTTAATCTTGTAAAGGCTAAGCAGAATTAAGTCTATTAATGGTTGGATGACCAGGAATATCAGGATAGAGTAGAAAGTTTAAAAGTATAGAAAAAGACAAAAGCAAACTAATTTATGGGATCCTTGGTGCTCTCTGAGCTTGGTTGTCTTATTGCAGAGTTTTCATTACCCAACTAGGTACATCCTCAACCCCTCTCCCCTGCAGCATTGATGATGCTACCTAGTTGGGTAATGAAAGAACCTGCAAGAAAACAACCAACTTCAGAGAACACCAAGGGCCCCATAATTCAATCCTGAGCTACAAATATGCTCTTCTATTATAAACTAATTTCCTATAGTTCCAAAGAAACATCCACATGTCCAAGTAATCAGAATCAGAAATTGTGGTTAATTCAAGGGAGATTTTACATGCTAGGGTAAAGGTGGCAGTTATGGTGATATTGTCCAGTTATCTGAGGAATTAAATTTTTTTTCATCATACTTTTGGGCATTACTGGCAACTTTGAAAAAAAAATTCAAAACTGTAGGCAGTCTATTTCTGTCAGAAAAATGCCAGGTTTCTATGCAGTTTCCTCATACAGCAGCAACTGAACTGAACTGAAGACTCTACAGCACTACCGAGCTATAAATAATTGGTCAGAATTTGCTTCTGAAGCCCCTGTTGGAAACTAGGCACAGGGGGAGGTGTATTAATTGTGCTTATGGAAAGGTGGTAATCTTTATTCTCCCACTCAGTTCAAGCAAGACTTTTATTTTCTTCTGCTTCATTGTATGTGCCAAGGTCTAACAGGTGGTAACTATCCTGAATTTTTGTAGATAGCTTTCATTTAATTATTGGCAGAGATTGATCACTGAGAAAACAAATGGTACCGTGCAGTCTCCACCTTATATATTTTCTGTCTGCAGAAAATGCAGAGTTTATTCTGCTGCTGGCAAGAAGGTTCCCAGCTTGATCTTATTTATTTCTTTGTTAGATTTATACCTTGCCTTTCATTCTGGAGCTCAGTGCAGCATAAATACGCAGCCCCTCTCCCATTTTCCCCACTACAACATCTCAGTAATGTAATTGGGAAAATCATTGGTCCAAAGTCACCCATGGTTCAGGATGAATTTGAATCCGGGTCTCTCCAGTGCTTGTTTAATGTATATATATATATATATATATATATATATATATAT